ACCAAGCATTGTGTCCGGGAGATTTCGGCCTGACATGGTCGTTTTTTGACCGACTATTTATGTTTATGTTTATAAATATATAGAACAAAAACAAACAAACAAACAAAAACACCATTTTCTCGGACCAACCTTGAAAATATAATTTGTCTTATTCGGTTGCGGATTCATTTTTGTATTAGTTTGGAAGGTTTTCTTTACAGCAATATATTGACATAAACCCCAACCCAAGCAGTTGTTATTGTTTTGTTGTTGTTGTTGTTGTTTGTTTTATTTTTTTTATTTTGTTTTATTGACCGCTAAATTTTCTCTCTTTTTATAAAATGTATAAAGTTTCATAAAATAACTCTATTTTCTCGTGCCAAACTGAAAACATCATTTGTATAATTCTGTTGCGGGTTCGTTTTTGTATTTATTTGTATGGTCTTTACAGCAATATAAGAACAAAAGCGTCAAAGCAAACAAAATATCCGGGATATTTTTACGTGACATGGTCGTTTTATGAATCGGTGATATGTTCTTTCTGTATTTAAAGTTTATTAATTTGTGTAAAAATCACCATTTTATCGAGGCAACATTGAAACCCTCATTTGTCCGGTTCCGTTACAGATTTGTTTTTTGTATTTGTTTGGATGTTGTTCTTTGCAACAATATAGGGCTCAAGCCGTACTACCCAAAGCGAAATTAGGACTTTAAGTTATAATAGAAACATATTCATATGTTTAAGATATAAAACTTCTATATCCAAAAATCTTTTGATAAACCTTTTTAACCAGGTTTATAATTTTGAAAATTCTGGTTATAAGATTTGTGTAAGGCGGGCGGGCTTGCGTCAATTAAGATGGTTTCTGATCAAGAACTTATGACTTATCTTATTCCAGCTTGGTATATAACAAGCTTATGTAAAGACCTCGCATGAGCTTGCTTTTGGACCCCTAGAACCAAGTTCAATGTTACTATGACTAAAAATAGAAAATCGGTTTCCGGCCAATAACTTGAGTTTGAAAAGAGATAATTCAATGAAACTTGGTGTTAGCAAACTTATATGAAGACCTCTCTTGGGATTCTTTTCGGGTCTCTAATGGCTAAGATCATGATTACTGCTACTAATCATAGAAAATTGGTTTTGCCCCTATCCTCCCTCATAGCTTCAATGCCAAAATCACTGTTACTTAAAACAGAAAGTCAAAATAACTGATTCTTAAAATAGTCAATCGACAAGTTTAGAATGAAATATTCAATAAAACTTGGTGTGTAGCAAGCTTATGTAATGACCTCTTTTGTGATTGCTTTTGTCCGCCCTCACCCTGTCACCCTAGGGCAATGGTCAAGATTACTGTTACCAAAACATAGAATCAACTAGATTTAAGAATAAGATATTTTGATTAATTTTGTTGTATAGCATTCCTATTTAAAATCCTCGTTTCGGACTAAAAATAAAATAAAATATATTCTTGTTAAGAAGAGTTAGGTGTGAGATATTAAAAAAGTTTGGTATATATCAAGCTTATGTCAAGACTTTGCTTGGGATTGCTTTAGGGTCCCATATGACCATACTTATTTTACCATCTGCTTTTATTACAAAATGCTTGCTTATTTCTTTTGTCTCTTCGATATTTATCATTTATATAACACATAGTGATTATACGTCGCGTGTATTTGTATTCGAATAAGAACAAAACTTTCTACAATTGTGATAATTGAAACACTGGTGTTGTGGCATTGCAATGTGTCTTGTCTAATCTATGTTGTTGTTTTTGTCTTGTTGTATAATGGCGTGTGTAATTCAGTTGACATAACAAACGGACCCCACTGGAAACAAGTCTTTGAGCATCCATGGGAAACCCAAGCTTTTTATACACTGTACTATACACCTTTTTTAATACTTGCTTACATTTGTGTTTGTTTCTATTCCTTGTCAAATTGTACTTAAATACATGTATGTTTATGAAAATTATTAATTAGTAATTACCAATTTCTTCGAAAGTGACCGACTACCTATACAAGATGATGTCTGAATAAATGTCCAGTGACAAATAGTTATTAAACTCTATGCCCAAGATCAATTGACACGGAGATTGTGAAAAGATTAATGTACCTGAAAATGTTTATCAGTCTAGCGTAGAGTCATAACACGTACAAATCTACAACCTAAATGATTATGATGCATTGTTTTAGTATCTTAGTCATGCCAAATATTCATTGGGAAAATGCTCAAAGTGATATCATAATAAGATATCATAATAAGATATTAACAACTTAAACGACAAGCTATGGCACAACATAAACAAAAACTTTACGTGGATGATATAAGAAACAACCGCAAACATTTTAACTGAACTAAAAATTCCCACATGTTATATTGTTACATTTTAGTAATAATAAAAGGGATCAACTATTAGTAATAACAATTGGGTTCATATATTTAACTAAATTTAAATTGTTAATTTGAAAGTGAACATGTTGATTCGTAAATGTACGGTGTTAATAATTTAAAAAGTTCTGCTTCAATATGATTGAGATGTTCTGATAATTATTAATATAATTGCAAAAAGAAAATTATAGGACCCAAAAAGGATTGGTAACATGCGAACTATTGCTTCACACATGCGAACTATTGCTTCACGAGTCCCTTCAATAAGTTCTTTTCCTTTTGGATTGTTGATTTGTTCTTTCTGTTTATAAAATAAATTAATGTTTGCAAAAAATATACTATTTTCTGGTGTCAACCGAAAACATACCATTTGTGTTATACCTTCACGGATTAGCTGTTACTTAAGTTTTGATGTTCTTTTTACAGCAATATAAGACGCAAAGCTTTAATCTTCGGGTAGCCTGCGTGAGATTGTAGTTTTTAATGCCCCCACCACAAACAAATGCGGAGGCATATAACTTTTGAAGTCAGTTTTAAATAATATTCTATAAATGTGTAGCACATTGTATAAAAACTAGGTTTGAAGGTCGCACTCAAAATGTGTCTGATCAACAATCCTGCCATTGAGACATATTTTGCATAAATGTATTGGACCCAATGACGACAAGTAGAGTGCAAGAATCAAGTCCATGTCACGCAAGCAGATTAAATGCCATGATTTGATTTTTTTTCTAAAAGTAGTCTGATGTTTGTGTCCGGTCAACAATTCTGTACCTAAAAAGAACAATAAAGAGAAGAAAAAAGTAGCCACATAAGTACTGTCTCTTTAGAACATCCGCCTGTCTGTCTGTCCGTCCAAAAAATTGAATCCCCTGATTACTCCAAAAGTACTGAAATTATTTTTATGCAACTTGAAAGAGATAGCAGTATAGAGATTGTGCATGTCTTTGTGTCCTATGTTGAAAACATCGGTTGATATGGCAACAAAAAGACTTATTATAAGACCATTTTCGTGTTTTAATGTTGAATTCTGCTTACGCCGGTGCTAGCAATATAGCAATATTTTGTATAACTCAAAAAGTACTAAAATATGTTTTATAAAACTTATAGGTTAAGGGCAGTATGGAGAATATGTACGTCTTTTTTAACTTGACAACATAGAGGATATTTGTTTGTTTGTGTGTAAGATGAAATTTTATTTTATCGTGTGAGTTTAAAAACAGTATTCTCACGAGATGAAATAAAATTACATCTTACACAACAAACAAACAAATTTTCTTTTTATCTTATGCTTTAAAACAAGGTTAAATGAAATGTCCTTAATATTTACTTTAATACTAAAATCTGTTTTCCTCACCGGTAGCCTCATTTTAGCCGAATTTCTCATAAAATACAAGAAGTCTTGAGCTGAACAATAAGTTCGATAATTAACGTTAAATGACGATGATATTATTTATTTTATTAAGAAATATGAATGATCACTTGTTTTAATAATAAAAACAAACAATTCTAGAAGAAGAAAAAGTCACACCATCCGACCTTATTTCCGTTACTTAAGGCGAATTTATATTAGACCAGGCTTTGTGTAATGTAAGCGGTCGCCATTTCTAAAAGTTGTGTATTTCGCTGGAAGAAAATAATTGTGTTTGATTCAGAGGGATATCATTTAGATTTGTTAGTCATACATCTTTTCATAAGAAAGAAAACTTATTTGAGGATTGTTTCAGACAATAAATAAGTGTTGACAGATGTGTAAACATGGAATTGTTGAAAGGCTGCCTGATGAACGCTGAGTTGTTTACTTATTCATCGGGCTAATGGCTGTCATTGCTTTTTAAGTTTTCATATTGCATTAGGCAGTTATAACTCGTAGGATACTTAAATATGCCCAAATGTTCATCCATGTCTTCAACAATGGCATAATCGAATAGTTATGGTCCTTGATAATTTTGCTGACATACTTCTTGTGGGAATATAACCAGTGGGGAAATTTTGTATTGCTTGCAATACTTTGATAATTGCTTGTTAATCTTTATTCTCATATTTTGCAGTTGTGCAATAACCACCTATTGCTATCTTTTATTGGTATTTGATACGAATTGCGTGATCCTTGCATGAACTTGTTTATTGCTTTTAAGCATAAATTTCAACGTATCTGTTGGTTCGAATCCCCCACGTTTGGTCCTTTCTTGAGAAAAAACTATCTAGCCACTTACAGAACACCGCTAGTTCTACGCAGAGGCCTTTTTTGCCTGCAATAATGCATGGAGGGCAAATCGGGGTGCTTTTCCAGCAGTAAAGCTTAGAAATCGCAAAATGACTTCTGTGTTGGTGCTACACGAAACCCAGCCAACATATATATTTTGTCATGATAAGTGTCAATTTGACTTTTTTCTTTGTATTGTAATTGTCTGACAGGTGGGATGCCTGCTAAAATGGATATAGAAGATTGAAGTCCGTACATTACCCGACCGCAATAACGAAAGAGTTTATGTCATTTGTCTCGGACATGACGACGCAAGCCATTGCAAGATGACATTGCTGATATAAGAGTTGTGTGTTTTAAATATTATCTGCTGTAAGATATACATGTATATTACATTCGGAAAAAAACAACAACAGGTTTTTATTTCTAAATTAATTGATTTTATTTGATAACATTGCATGATCTCCTATTTATCTCACTGATTAGAATTCCCAATATTTACACAAGCGCACGTATATGTAGAATCACTAGAACAATAGAATTTTGTAACAATGATATATACAATTTTTAAATACTTAAATTTTGAATGGTAAACCAGCATAAACATTTTTCAAAACATCTATAATAATCACAGCTGCATTTCAATAAAACTGGATTATACAATAGTGACAGTTTGAATCAAGAATTTTTTTCTTAACATTATAGTTGCTATGATAGGTACTACGTGCATTTCTGGTACTACAATTCTCTTTACAAATTATTTGCCATTGCATTTTTCATATCACCCTAGAACAAAAATAAGAAAATACGCTATAGTTTGAATCAGGTAAAAGTTCAAATATATCCTTTATTGTTAATGGATTAAATGATTTCGAAACTAACCACCCCTTGAATAAATGGTTATATTATAAACAGCGCAGATTAGGCGGGTGTCAATGATAAAACAGGGATTTTAAACCGATGTGTTCGCTAGATCGCCAACCCATGTGCCTTTTCAGTGAAATTTAGCATTTTCAACTATGATTAAGACGTCAAAATGTAAGAAACAATCCCTTTAAATAGATTAATAGATAAATTGAAAATAAATAAATGTATTGAATCCTTAAACCTTATCTGTTTGTATGATATGATGCGATGATTTATAAATGCAATTGATATATAAATTACCTTTCACCATGAATATTATTTAAAACAATTGACGTAATGAAATCAACATAAATGCATAAAAATTATAACAATTTTCATATTTTATTTTATTTAAGTTTTCCGTTTATTGTTAAAGATTTGAACTTCTTAGCAAATTGATAAAAATAAACACGGTAAAGTGTAACAGAAAAAGTTTCATTCGTACCGTGAATGGTATGTATCTGAACTCTGTGAGCACATTTCAACTTAAAATATTTATGGCATACATGTGGTGTTTTATTTCTACATTATCAGTATGAAGTTCAACTAGTATAAATTGTCGCAATGCAATAATGATAAATGAATAATTCACACAAGAAAGACCACTTGGCGACATTTCTGTTTTATTTATAAACTTAAGATTTAATATCATGAAAAGCCATATGTATTATAGACGTACATATGTCAAATGAAATGAGTGATGCAAAGTTTAAAAAAAAATCCGAAAACAAATCATTTCTCCATCTCTGAAATGAAAAATATACGTGAGAGTTAGCAAATACAATATGGCGTACGTTGGTGATGAAATAACTTTTATCTACAATTCTTATACCGATAATCGCACATATATCACGTTATATCTCTATAATGAAAATGTCCATATTTCAACCTTGACAAAACCATTCATCATTTTACCGAAATTAAGTAATAAGTGCTGACCGAATAGCGAACAGTGCAAATAAATATCAAACGGCATGGGTGATGGTCTGCACTGGTCACTGTGGGCTAGATATATTATTTAAGGAACATAAACCGATAGGAAAAGATGATATTCTGAAAAGCGAGCTGAATACCTTTGAAACATTTTGTTCAATTTTTAAATTTTGAAACATAATTGAAGAATCCAAATAATAGTTAACTGTAGTGTGTCATTCCCACAAAAAAATCTAAAAATATCATCGAATATGATGTTCACAGAAAACAAATGTAGTGCTAGCTACAATAACGTTTAACATCACTTATCATACTTATGTAAAATTTTGAATAATTTTGTAAATTAAGATTTTCCAATAAGTAACTACTGGCATATTTCAGTAAACTGATCTCCGCAAATAACAGGTTTCCATTTAAAACAATGTAATATTAGGTAACAATACATTTAATCACTCACCATAATTTTTACCACTCAGGCATTCCGTATTTCATTCTCACATATTTACCGCAGCAAATGGCTTCAGTAGGTGTGTAAATATGTGTACCACAACAGTAAGTCTTATCTCCAAACTTCTTTGCCTTAAGAACACCGTCACAACATATGTTCAGGACAGGGTCATAGCTCTTGTCGTTACAACATTTCGTATGTAGTCCGCATTTACCTTGAACATTGCAATTGCAGCAAACTTGACGACTGCTATCATATGTTTTACCACAGCAGCAGCAATCATCATATGGAACTCTTACTTTTGGTACCATTGTTCCGTTACAACAAAGACCTTTCTCTGGATTATAACTTCTTGATCCACAGCAACGGGTCTGAAGTCCTAGCCAAGCATGTTGTATCACACCTTCGCAGCATATGTCTATATTAGGATCATAACTTATACCATTACAACATCTTGTTACTTTTGAAAGTTTCACAGGTTGTGGGACATCATGCGGTTCATGAGGACAACATACTTGTGTCGCAGGGTTGTATGTGCTCTTTCCGCAACACCATACATCACCAGTATTATTCTTCTTGATCCTTTCACCATCGCAACAAACATGAGTCTCGGTATTATAAGCCTCGCTTCCACAGCATCTTGTATTTCTTTTTCCTCCGGATGCTACTTGTTTTGTTCCATTACAACATATATGTGTATTAACGTTAAACGATTTCTTACCACAACATTGCGTATCTTTTGGATCAGCTGATTCGATCGGACCTGTCTCCATGTCGCAGCACGTTTCATTGGCTGTGTTGTATGTCATGATACCGCAACAACAGTTGTCATCATTATTAGTTTTTTTAATTATTAACTCGTTTCTACAACATATTTCAGTTTTTGGATTAAAAGGTATTCTGCCACAGCACATAGATTCTGGACCTGCTGGTCTGTCGCTTACCATATCAATGCAACACATTCCCGTTACAGGATTAAAGGTTCTATTTTTGCAACACATGTTATCACCAGGTTTTGTCATTTCAACCACTTCTCCATCACAGCACACGTAGCCAGTTTTGTTAAAGCCATTTGCACCACAACAACCTGAATTTGGACCAAATCGTGGTGCAGGTTTGTCGTCACAACATAGCTGTTTCTCAGTATTAATTGTTTGCCTTCCACAACAGCAGTTATCATCTATATCTGATTTTTCATTAAGGATATTTCTATCACAACAAAGAAATTTATCTCCGTCATAGCTAGTGGTTCCACAACATTTCGTATTTGTGCCATATATCGGCTGTGGGAAGTCATCGCAGCAAATATGAGTGTTTGTGTTTATTGCAAATTTTCCACAACAGCAATTCTCGTCCGTGCTATTTTTTATTCGAACCATTTTGTTATCGCAGCAAAGCTCAGTTTCAGGATTATAGCTCTTTGCATAGCAACATCGTGTTTCTTTTCCTGCTACCTTAAGCTGGGGTACTTCACTGCAACAGACTTGTGTTTTCGTATTAATAGTCGACTTTCCGCAGCAGCAATCATCTGTTTCGTTTACTTTCATTCTGACACTCTCGTCGCAACATAATTGAAGCTCAGTATTCATACTTTCATCACCGCAACAAGATCCAAACTTGATATTTCCGATAGGTTTACTTGGTACTCCATTACAACATACCTCCTCTTCAGCGTTCATTGTTGTTTCTTTGCAACAACAGTCATCGGTCTTTCTTCTTTTTTCAATAAGCCTTTCATCACAACATAAATGTTTTCTTGTGTCATAACTTTTCTGCCCACAGCACGAACAGAATCTACCTCCTATTCTTTCTTGTGGCACACCATCACAGCAAATATCATTTGCTATATTTATCGTCCTGTTTCTACCACAACACATATCATCATCGTCATTTTCTTTGTCTACAAGTCTAACTCCATCGCAGCATATCTTATCATTTGGCGAGTAACTTTCAATTCCACAACAAAGCGTAATATTTCCAACGATATCTGCAGGCATATCGTTACAACAAATCTGTGAGTTAGTATTAATAGTAGTCTTTCCACAACAGCAGTTGTCCTCGTCTGTTGTCTTTTCTCTCATTTCTCCTTCACAACACATAAATTTCACGGAATCATAGCTCACTTTTTTGCAGCATTTAGTAAATTCTCTATTTTTTAAATCCTGTGGTACACCATCACAGCAAAGTTCTGTTTTTGTATCAAAAGTGGTTTCACCACAACATCCATCATCTTCTGGTTTATTACGTTTTTTCTTAACTCCATCTTTGCAGCACATATGTGTTTGCGAGTTGAAACTTTCATTTCCACAACAAGTTGTGAATTCGGGATTTTCCATTGGTTGTGGTGTATCCATACAGCAAATTTCTGATTTCGAATTTATTGAAGTTTCTCCACAACAACAATCGTCCTCGGGATTCTTCTTTTTTATAAGGGTTTTAGAGCAACAAATAAATTCATTTGGATCAAAGCTCTCATGCTCGCAACATTCTGTTGCTGGACCATAAGATGACTGTACAAATTTACCGTCGCAACAGACATTGTTTTCTGTATTATAAGTATCTTTTCCACAGCAACAATTATCTTCCTCTGAGGTTTTATTTCTAACTTCATCATTGCAACAAATTTGTTTTTTAGGAAGATAGCTATAAATCCCACAACATTTCGCTTCCTTCGGATTTCCAAAGCCAGTTTGTACCATTTCACCTTGGCAACAAACATCAGTCTCTGCGTTGAATGATTTTTTATCACAACAACAATTGTCTTCTTCTTTTGTTTTATTGATGATCATCTTTCCATCACAGCACAATTGTGTCTTTACATTAAAGCTTTTTCTGTTACAACATCGTGTATTTACGAATCCCCCCATAAATGGCTGAGGGGTATCTATACAGCATATTTCTGAATTTGCGTCGAAACATGTTTTTCCACAGCAACAGTCATCCTCTGGTTTTGTTTTGTTTCTAATTTCTCCTTCACAGCAAAGTTGGCTTCGAGTATCATAGCTTTTTTCCAGACAACATGACATAAATGGACCTCCATCCTGTGGTATATTCATGCAGCACATGTCAATACCAGCGGTTATTGGTTTCTTTCCACAGCAGCTATTATCACTGTTTTTCTTTTTCTTCACTACCTCATTTTCACAGCATACATGTGAAGTAGAGTCGTAACTGACTAAACCACAACATCTTGTTGCGTCGCCTTTTTTGTCTTGAGGAGTTGTTCCTTGACAACAAACTTGGTTGACATTATTCATTGTTGTTTTTCCACAACACCAATTGTCCCCTTCTTTTTCTTTTTGTCTGATCTCATCATGAGCACAGCATAGGTGTGTCTCAGGATTATAACTTCCTTTTCCACAACACAATGTTTTTTCACCTGCAACGGCATCCGCTGGCACACCATCACAACAAATTTCTGATTTAGAATCCATTGAAGAAGACCCACAACACCAATCATCTGTAGATTTACGTTTTTCGTTTAATCTTTCTCCATCACAGCAAATAAAACTTTCAGGATCATAACTTGTATCTTTGCAACATCTTGTTTTTTCTCCTGCTACCTTTGGCTTAGGATTACCATTACAACAAATTTGTTTACTTGTAGTCATTGTTGTTTCTCCACAACAACAATTATCGCTTGTCTTATTCTTCGTCCTTATACTTTCATTACAACACATTTCATTTTCCGAATCATATGCAAGGCGACCACAACATTTTGAATGTTTTCCGTTCTTCAATTTGACAGGACTTCCGTCACAGCACATCTCGTTTTCCGAATCAAAAGTTTTATTTCCACAACAGCAGTCATCATTTTTATTCTTCTTTGTTATCATTTGCTGGTTCGCACAGCAAACAGTTACCCGTTTATCAAAGCTTTCGGATCCACAGCAATCTGTAAACTCCTCGTACAGTTTATTTGGAACACCCATGCAACAAAATTCTGTTTTAGAATTAATTGTTGTGTCACCACAGCAACAATCATCTTCCGTATTTCTTTTTTCCATCGGACCTTTCTCACAACACAGGAAATTATCTGTATTATAGCTCTCCTCTTCGCAGCATTTAGTTGGTCCGTCCCGTTTTGGTTGTTTTGTTGTACCTTGGCAACAGACATCTGTTTCTGTATTAAAAGTTGATTTTCCGCAACAACAGTTATCCTCCGTCTCATCTTTCTCAATGACTTCATCATCACAGCATATATGGCTTTTCGGGTCAAAACTCTTTTTATTACAACATTTGGACAATAACGGACCTACAGGAGCTTCTTGTACAACCATATTGCAACAAATATCGTCTTTAGTATTCATTGGACGCAATCCACAACACCAATTGTCATCTGAAGTGCGTTTTTCTATAACCTTGCCTTCACAACAAAGGAAATTCACGGGATCATAACTTTTATCCCCGCAACATCTTGTCATTGGACCAAATGAGTCCTGTGGGTTTTCTTCACAGCAAACTTGCAAAGAAGTATCAATTGTTGCTGATCCACAACAACAGTTATCATCCTCTGTTTTTTTCTTCACAATTGTTCCATTGCAACACATATGTCTTAATCGGTCGTAGCTTTCATCTCCACAACAGTCTGTCATAGGTCCAAAATTTCTCCTTGGGACACCCTCGCAACAAACCTGATTCCTTGTATTTATTGATTTATCTCCACAGCATCCATTATCATTACTATTGTCTTTCTTCACGACTTTTCCTTTGCAACACAAATGTGTCTCTGTATTATAACTTTTATCATTACAACACATAGTATAGTTTTCATGTAAGGGTTGAACCTCTCCTTTACAACAAATATGAGTTAAAGTGTTCATTGTTGTATTACCACAACAGCAATTATCTTTTGTATTTTTCCTTTTACGAAGTTCTTTTCCATCACAACAAATCTCATCGGCTGGGTTATAGCTATCTGTCATACAACATTTGGCTTCTCTGCCTGCTCCCTTTCTTGGTCTGACTTTATCTAAACAACATATCTCCGTTTCTACATTCATTGATGAGTCGTCTCCACAACAGCAATCATCTAACTTATTTTTCTTCTTAATAACCTTATCTTTACAGCAAATTTCGTTCACCGAATCATAGCTGATATCTTTGCAGCATTTTGTTAGTTTGCCATTTTTTAATTTTTGTGGATTTTTTTCACAACAAATTTGTGTAGCAGTATTGATCGTAGAATTTCCGCAGCAGCAGTCATCTTTCGTTTCTGCCTTTCGCACAACTTCACCATCGCAGCAAAGTGCAAAGCGGCTGTCGAAACCAGTCTTTTTACAACACATTCCATACTTTGCGTCTTCCACTCTTTGCGGAATACCATGACAACACACTTCTTTAAACGCATTTAAAGTAGTTTCACCACAGCAACAGTCGTCATTGTCATCTTTCTTGTCCCTGACAATACCATCACAACACATTTGAGTGTCGCCATCGTAGCTTTCGTGGCGACAGCAAAATGTATTTGGTCCTCGGCGAGGTTGTGGGGTATTGCTACAGCACACCTCATCTTCTGAGTTGATTGTAGTTTTACCACAACACCAGGTGTCTCCGGTTTTGTTGATCGGTACCAACACAACACCGCAACATATATAACTATCCGAATCAAAACTTATTTTTCCGCAGCAAGAGGTTTTCGAGCCTTGTTTCGGTTGGGGATTATCGTCACAACAAATTTCGTCCATCGTGTTAATAGTACTTTTTCCGCAACAACAATTGTCTTGTATATTTTTCTTTTCAGTTATACGCACACCATCGCAACATATATGCGATACAGCATTATATGGATGATCGTCACAGCATTGCATAAATGTTCCAATTTGGTTTTCATATACTCTATCATTGCAACAAATTGAAGTTGAAATATCATAGCTTTTAAGACCACAGCATTTTGTTCCCATCGCAAACGCAGGCCCTGGTCGTCCGTAACAACACACTTGTGTTTTAGTATCAAAGGTTTTTTCACCACAACAAGCGTCATCACTAGTATTAACTTTCCTTCTTACTTCTCTGCCACAACATATATAACCAGCCGGATTATAGCTTTCCTGTCCGCAGCATCTTGTATTCATTTTTCCAAGAAGTTTCTGCACTTTGCCTTCGCAACATAAAAACCTTGAAGAATCAAAGCTTATCATGCCACAGCATTGTGTGCCTGCAGCATACCTCGGTTGTTTGTTACCGTTACAGCAAATATGTGTATCTGGTGCGTATGATTTATTTCCGCAACAACAATTGTCGGAAATTGAAGAAAGTGGAACGAGAGAATGGTCATCGCAACATAATTCCTGGTTTCTATTATAACCAACTGTACCACAACATCGTGTCATGTTTATACTTTCCATCGGCCGTACAACACCATCACAACAAATTTGTGTTACAGGGTCTATGTTTTTATTACCACAGCATAAGGAAATGTCTCCAGCAGTCCTCTCTTGTATTTTCTTACCGCAACAAATTTTATTTGTCGGATCGAAAGGCGTTTCTTCGCAACAGCATGTGAGATTTCCGGCTACAGCTTCTTGGACATTTCCGTTGCAGCAAACGTGCGTCTGTTCATTAAACGTTGGTACAGGCATATTGTACTTACAGTCGTAGCATTTTGGATGATAGGGTTCCGGGTAAAGCATAGCTTTTAAAGAAATGAAGAATTTAATCATGACTGAATAAAAATGAACAATAACTTGTAGCTAAAACGATCAGAAGTACATAAAGTGTTATTAAATTCAATCCATAAAATCATATAATATTTGGTGACTCATTTAATTGACTCAGAAATAATTAAGTGATAATATAAAATATATATATATTTAAAAAATATATCTTGAAAACTATTTTGGATTTTTTTTTTTTTTTTTTTTAAGTTCTTTTTTTTTAAAAATGATATTCTCCACTATGAGCAAAATCAATAAATTATATAGAGCTACCAGTTCTGAGATTTTCTTTTCATTTATTTTTATTTAAAACACGAATGCATTGCATGTTTATTTCCAAATCAATCTTATCAATTAAAAAAGGCACCACAAGTGTATTATTATTATCAATTGGTGAAGGCGTTACCATGGCAGCAGAATTGTGTCATTCTGTTGTAACTAACATTTCCACAGCATGTTGCAAATTCTCCGCCTATCTTTGGTTGTACCTATTAATAAAAGTATGTGTTAGGGTCAAGCAAGTAATCTCACCAGTAACTTTTCGGACAATGTTCTCGAAGATTTATAATTAAAACTAATCATGCAAACTATTGTACAAAAATAAGATTAATCAAAATCTTAGTCATCATACGTTAGCGTCTTGTCAACGTTAAATCAGTATATTAACAAAGGAAGTAAGTTTTTTAATTACATATTTATGTTAACCAAGGCCGTTTTTGCGACTTCGTAAAGACGGTATTGCACGGCCGTGCATATATTTTGACGTGTCATCATTTGCAACGTACAAACATATCAATACTGAATTTCTTGACCTCTTTGAATAAAACAATACTATGCTCGCCACAGGCTCGCATAATATGATTTTATTTAACTCGTTCAATAAATCTAGTATTGAACCCGCACTCATTTAATATCCTCTATACATTGTACTAGTAATCGATAAACAAAATGATTGAGACTTGAATGGTAAAGATTATCATTTCATACATGTTTGTGTAACTTTTTTTCTCTCCAAAATTACTGATATCTTATCCTCGTATATAAAAGAAAAGTACGGACAAATTTATTTGCTTTTTTATATACATGTGAACGCGTCTTAACAATTCATTTTCCAAATGATTAAGAAATTAAGCACGATGAAAATATAAGTGGGGTAATTAGCGGATAAGGCAGTATTCGATATTAATGACAAGTACATGAATTAACTGTTTGAAGATAAAAGATAACAACTGTGAGATGAAAAACTCTCTACAAAACTATTTTTTAATGCTAAAATCATGTACTCACACTTCCAACGCAGCAAAGTGACCTCTCTGGGTCGTACGAATCATAACAGCAACATTTGGTATTGTCTCCACCAACACGTGGCTGTGGGTTGCCATTTTTACAACAAATTTCTGTTTTTCGATTCATGGTTGAGGATCCGCAGCACACTGTGTCACTACCATACACTCGAGGGTTTACAGTCCATAGACAGCAAATCTCAGTTTTGGGGTCATATGTGTGGAATCCGCACATCTCCACTAAAAGCAGTTTTCATTCACTATTTATACTAATAACAAATTTAAGCATGATTATCATGTACTGCTGATCTGATTTATATTGGTAGGGTTTATAGTAAGACCAAATTTTAAACACTTTAAATTTAAGTTCAAGTATATCGGAGCAAGTCTATACCTGATATTTTGTATACATACATACATACATACATACATACATACATACATACATACACAAACATAAAAATCTTGAAACAAAGTGATCCCTCGGAAGCATTAACCCTTTACCTCATGTATACGGAAACAACGCACTGTCGACTCCCCTTCCCCCTTTTTAGGCCTCAAATAGTGAAAAATGTCCTGTTTGGGCCCCAAAGACATGTTTTCGTTTGACAAATGTTGTGAGAAAAAGTGATCACTTTTTCGGCGCCACCCCCTATCAGAAAGATACATCAGGGGTGTCAGAGGGGGATATGCCCCTTTCTGCATGGGGGTTTGAGGGGGTAAATGTCATTCTCATCGCCAAGAAGATTTTTGGACATATGAGAGGCTAAAATAGGCCTCGGGTCGATCAGAAGGCAACGTGTAACAAACGCTGAAAAGCCTGTGCCTCTATCTCAATCTAATGAGAAGTTGCTGCACCTTGAAATCAGTTTTGATGTTGAACAAATCAACGCAAAATAGTTATTTTTTGACAATTTTTGAGATGTCCCCTCGTTGCCATGGTACAAAAAATAAAAGATTGGGCATGGCGTTTCAAAGGATATGGTGCAGTCAACATTTGTGCCAAGTTTGATGAATATTGAAGTATCTTTTATAGTTTCATCGCAATCTGAACTTGTAACAGGAGGCTTTTCAATGAAAACAGCTATTTTTCACAAAATGCTCATGCAGTAATGAGTTAATCACAACAAGATAACATGACAATTGCAGACTCGGTTTTATTGAGTTTGTATTTGCAACCCCTAGCACCGGCATGCATAAGCGGTACTCAATTCTCAACACATAATAAATTATCCCAAAGGACATAATAAATGATCACGAAGGACTAGAAAAATATAACAACACTGAGGTGAAGTACGGGGAAACGTTTGACAGCTGCTAAACACATGAATAAAAAATGAGAAATATCAAATATTGGTCCGCACCATTAAATAATATATGAAATCTATCTTTATAATGATATCATACTAAACACAATTCAAATATAAGGTATATTTAACTTTAAAGTCACTTACGTTTTATTGGAGGTATCGGTCGATCTAAAATACAAAATACAAATAACATAAACATAACGAAATCAAAAATATATGTAAAACATATGTGATGTGTTATAAAGTCTGATAATATAACTTCTGCATAAATTTCACTTTCGGGTAAAATAATTATCTAAAATTAATGATTTTATAGGCCATAAAAAGCATGTTGATATCTTAGTGATACCCTCTACAGGACTAGTATGTGTAACAAACTTGCACGTTATCACATGTGCATCTTTCTACTTTCTCCTTCAGGAAAATAAATACTATTTTGCATCGACAAAAAATTCCTGTCGGTTAAGCAGAGCAGAAGAATAGTACACTGTCTTGTTTGTTTATCTCCCAAATGAGGTTGTCATTCTTCTCAATACAACTAAATTGTCAGATTTTCATTCAGATATTATGGTTGTTGTTTTGATGTTGTTGTTGTTGTTTTTTGTCATTGTATACGCTTAACGTAATAAGATATATTTGATCTGCGTTACGACAAAACCAACATTGTTGGTTTGCGACCAGCATGGAACCAGACCAGCCTGCGCTTCCGCGCAGTCTGATAAGAATGCATGCTGTTTGCTATCAGTTTCTCTAGTTGTAATAGAGTTTGTAATCGAACAGCCTGGATCCTGATCAGACTGCGCGAATGTGCAGGCTGGTCTGGATCCATGCTGGTCGCAAACCTATTATGTTGGTTTTGTCGTGACACGGCTCAAATGTGTAGATATAGTTAATATCTGCCTGATCTATCTACGCCTTCTAAATTCATCTTCACCATCATCATCATCATCATCATCATCATCATTTTCATTAACAACAACATCATCATCATCATTTTCATTAACAACAACAACAACATCATCATCATTAACAACAACAACAACATCATCATTATCAACAACAACAACAACAACAACAACAAAACTCAACAACATCATTATCAACATGAATGCCATCATTATTATTAGCATACATGTACTTATTATTATCATCATACAAATGGTACTGTACCGTCGCAAATAGTGGTAAATAGGTCCTTGGTAATTACTTTCAGGGAGGCTTCAAAGTCGGATACCATAAATAGATTATCTTCTATAGGTGTAGAAACAACTTGGTTTAATTCTTCTTCAGGTCCGTTGTTTGGGATAAAGTTATCATCAATTCCAATTCCTATAATACGAACTCCGTCAGCTCTGTAATAGTTTGGATATACTCTTAACTATTGTGCAAAGAAAATTACATCTGTTCTTATATCTGCATTAATCTTTCTCGTTTTGAATTTTTTGAATGTTCATTATAAATTAGAGATTATTCATATAAAGATAAACCGACTTATACCAGACTTTGGCAAAAACAAGTCATTACCGCCAAAAAATTTTGAGCTAGTTAAAACTTTATCTATAACAATTTAAATAAGTTTTTATATAATTATATACGAGACGATATTTTACTTGTCAGTGTTACATAGTTTTCAATAGCAAAGGAAACATTCTTTCAAATGAAAACAATTAAAGGTTTATTTATCTATTTGCATACTCACTTAATAAGATTTTTATTTAATTTCAACTTCATACACCATTAAAAATATACAAAAAAACAACAAAAAACAACAGCGAAAAGTTAGTAAAATAAAATTTACTTTAGATCAGCGGCTGCAGCAACTGTTTTACTCTCGTCATCTGACATTCCGTCTGTCAACAATATAACGACATTCTGTACACCGGCTCTGTCACCTTTACCGGCCTTAGTAAAAGGAAGAAATAAATGAGCCGCGTCATGACAAAACCAACATAATGGGTAAGTGACCAGTATGGATCCTGACCAGCCTGCGCATCCGCGCAGTGTGATCAGGATCCATGCTGTTCGCTTTCAGTTTCTCTACTTGTAATAGGGTTTGAAAGCGAACAGCATGGATCCTGAATAGACTACTATGTTGGTTTTGTCGTGACACGGCTCAAATAATGTTTACTTAGATGTTCACCTCCCGAAGAGTACACACATTTTCGAAATCAAACAGCAGAAATCACACATACAGAGGTTTACAAATTTGGTAAGTGTATCTTAAGTAAGTTAAATACATTTCGTTCATATTCGAAAAATAAACATTATCGTTAAGTAAACAGTCGCATACAAAATAAAAGGTATGGAAATTTACAAGAAATATACAATGTTTTTAGATAGCATGTATGTTTAATTTATGACTGAACGGAACAGACGATGTTTTATAATGGCCTTGACACTGTATTTTGTCCTGAAACATTGATTATGCAACAACTATTTTACATCTTATTGTTATTTTAACTGACATTCGTTGAGAATACAAGCTCATTTCAGCGCTCTTTTTATTTAAAATTTTACCGTTCACATATATAACAATGCTTCTTTTCATTTCAGGATCATGTTTCTTCGTTAAATAAATACAAAATTACATAGACTTAAATATACACTTTAAATATTGTATAGAAAAAAGTTAAAGATGCAAACATAATAGAAACTGCTGACTCACTACAAACATGTCCGAGCGAACAAGTGCCAAAGCTTGTCCGGTTTTAGTCGTCCCTTGCTGGTATGGTACATTCAATATAGCGTCAATAATGTCGGCTGTCTCCGTGTATTTATTCAGATGGAACCAGATAGTTGTGTTGTGACTGTACGTCAACAGACCGATGTGTACTGCCTTATCAGCTTCAACACCTAGATAAAATCAATGTTCACGTACAAGTACAAATCAAGTGGCTATCTGTCATTTTATGTTTCACTCAAAATATTACCTATTGTTAGTGTGGCTTTAAAAAAAAAACAACAAAAAAAAAACAATGTTCATCAGTCTGATTATGTTAATGTATAAGTCGAATAAGATTTTTTTCCTCGTCTTCTTCTATTTTGTGGCACTGTACGTTTTTAAGGAAATGAATAGGGATGTGGAAAATATCGTGAAGATTGCATGATTTCTGTTATGCGAATTGAAGTAAATATGAAGCATCTCAATAGCAGTAGCGGAACAATCTCGTATGTTATTAAATGTATAATCACATTAGATAAGTTTGAAGACAGTGATATTATCAATTTAATTTAACAATTTCAGAAGCTTAGAAATTTGTCAACATGTCTTGAAAAGACTAATTAATAGACTTGTACAAAATAATGACACTTCAATGCCTGAACAACAGGGTAGCCAGTCTATAGAATGTCGACATGTCAACATACATGCGCAGTGGTTCTATACAAATAGAGCCTTTAGAACTATTAGCAAATGCTGACACAAATGATTTAAGCTTTCCGGCAGGTTGCCTTAGTAACGGAAACAGAGTAAATGACACCTTTCGGAAAATATGTTTATTAACTATGGTCAAGTGAATTGCAAATGTAAATTCATGAAGAAGACAATGGTATCAGGTGCCCCTTGAAAAGCACTTGCCGTAACCAAAAGTAAGTAATAAATGAAGTATGAATTGTTATCTCAGATAAATCAGATAGGTATGACAAAAACGTTTAAACCGAATGCCGTGTTAAATAAATGTTGAAGAATAACACAATTAAAATGAATGATATGTAACACTTACCTTCTACAACTCCTGCCATAAAGTTTCGCAGGTTTACCCAGTTGTTTGCCCTGATGCTAGAGCTGGAGTCAGCAACAAATATGATATCACTTTTAGCCAATCCGCATGCTGGAACATTCAGAATATAATAGCAATTTAATATTCAATGTATTCAAAAAAGATAGGGATTAAGCGCCTCCCCTTGTAATGGCCCTTTTCTCTTAATAATGAGTTGTAAGATAAAGGGTCTTAGCTTTATACAGCAATCAACATGATAAAGATGCACTGCAATAAAGCCGAAACTGCAATGTTCAATATTTGAGATTATTCTGCACGGTTAATGTAACAGATTGCGATTCACCATCTGCGCATACTATCCACTGACCGCAAAGATAGGTTCAAGCGGTAAAAGACGCAAAAATATATTTATACATTTACAGGTTTCAGTATGAGTTATTTTATCTAAACAGTGTGATGGCTGAAGAAAGATGAAAAAACTTTAATGTATTTACAGGGCTTAAAAACATTTTGATTCTTGCAAAATCTTATGTTTTGAAGTAATGAAATTAATACACTTACAGCAACAGTCAGTCCCGACGAAAATTCCAGATCTCTCCTCGATGTTACCACCGCAGCAAATTTTATCCTTTGGGTCGAATGTTCCTTTATCACCACAGCAACATGTTTGGTCCCCTGTCCTTGGAAACGGTTTCCCATTACAACAAACCTGTGTGATGGGATCCTGCCCGCAGTCTAAGTAAAATGCATGTTAAAATTCATATAATCATTTCAACAAACAAAGAATCAACGCAACATAGATCACCGCTATACATTTCATAAATGACATTTAAACATTTTCCTTTACTATTCGCCTTTGAATATTTAACAGTGAATGCGTGGCAATTCCATGGTAACTGATAATTAGTTTAAACGTGTGCTTATTTGAAGAAATGTAAATATTTGAGCCGTGTCACAACAAAACCAACATAATGGGTTTGCGACCAGCATGGATCCAGACCAGCCTGCGCCTCCGCGCAGTCTGATCAGGATCCATGCTGTTCGCTTACCGACCCTACAACAAGTAAAGAAACTGATAGCGAACAGCATGGATCCTGATCAGACTGCGCGGATGCGCAGGCTGGTCTGGATCCATGCTGGTCGCAAACCCATTATGTTGGTTTTGTCGTGACGCGGCTCATTTAGATCTGGTTTGTATTTGTAAATGAATCAATATTTAACGCCCTCCCCTTCCCCAGCCCTTCCATCAAACCCGTCATAACCTTCCAACATTCCCAACCCGTTACAACTTCCCATCAAATAATTCTTTTTTTATCCCAAAACATTTTTCTGGGCAAATGTTCTTGCAATGGAGAATTGGGGGAAATCTAGGTGGGATTGAAAATTCATTATAACACAACATAGCATGTTTTTTACAATTCAATTTTTATCATTTCTGATACAATATGTATGTACAAAAGCTTGTTTGAATTTTAAATAACAAGTACAGCTTATATCCATATATCGCTACGTCATTATTCTGGGATGTTTTTTCTTCAAGTGCACATTGCTCAAGTAAACCGGATGTATTACACTATTTATGGGCATTTCGTCGGGAGCGGTAAACTGTATATTGGCTTTAAGTGATATTTAGCCAGCTGGGAAAAACTGATTTCTGGCTATGGTAAATTATTTTACTTAATAAGTAGACGGTTAAACTAATTTCTGCTTAACTGCGGTAAATTATTGATATACAATGATTGACGATCGTGGTTAGTAAAAAAAATGCTTTGAACCAAAAAAAGTTAAACTAGTGAGTAAATAGTTAAAAATATATACTCAATATCATTACAGTAGATAGATCATATAGGCATAATTATATATCTATATTACGTTACTGTATATAGTTCATAAACATATATTTATATTTTATTAAATAAATAGTCCATAAATAATTTAATGAGCTATTTATTTACATTTATTTATATTTATTCATTTATTCATTCATTTTATATTCATTTCTATTTTTCTTCTTTTTTTAATTATTTATAATTTGAATAATATAAGGTGAAATAGGAGACAATTGCACCATTATCGTAACATTGTGCTTTAATTCTTTTTATATTTATGAAATTCCAAATTAATTATTATATTTATAGAAAAACTGATAGGTGAATTATAATTTTCTTAAAGAATATACAGTAAAAAAATCAAACAAAAATAAAACAAGTAGTTACCTCATATCGTTAACAATAAAAATTTGTACTCACCTTCGCCGTTGACTGCCGCTGCAAAAATAGAAATAATAATCAACATAAAATTATACGTAAAACCAACATTTACCATAAAATATAAAATATGATCAATGATTATGATATTAATAAACTCATGACTTATCACGATAAAAATGTGAACATTAGGTCCATGATTAATCGGAATACATTTGAAACTTAATTGATAGAGTACACGATTTATTATAATGAATTTGAAATTAAAAATAAATCCTTATTTTTTCATGAGTAAAAATAGTTGAAAAAAAATTATTCCAATGAAATTAAAAATAATTCCATTGATTTATTACAGTGAATTATAACAAATACATATCTATTATTAAGAAAATAACGATAATATCAAGAACATTGTTCATATAAAATTATCGTTTTATTTTGATACAAACTTTTGAAAACAAAATTATTATTCCAAAGTATTGAAAGTGACTTTAATATTGCCACTAAAATATTATAATGGTTTTGCGTTACAAAGAGAGGCCTTTCCAATTCTGACTTAAACGTTATTATACTCTAAAATCCCAATTCACATTTTAATTCCAACTGGTATAATTGTTTTGCCACGTGTCGCAATCATAAGCCATCATATTGTATGCATGAAATAAAAACATTTTATATGAATAAAACATTTCTATATGAAATAATAAAAAAAACATTTGTAGACACAAAAACATGTCATATTCAAAATTTTCTGTATGGAATAAAACATTCATAAATAAATATAAAAAAATACAATATAGAAAAGAAAAAGATTTTGGTGTGATGTTCTGATTCCTATATATTAAGCGGTGTAGCTTCAGTTTTTTATGAATGTACATTTGGAAATGTTCAATTCATTGCAACAGATCATGTTCGAAACGTACAATTAAAATATGTAAGTAATAATTTTCTTTTCTTTATTGTCATAAAAGCTGGTTTTATTAGATAATCCCTTCAAAAAAGTATTATTTATGAATATAAGTTGTATTTTGTTTAAATAAGTTCGCTAGTAATTAATGTTTTTAGGGTCTTTATAAAATAATAAACCTTCTGTGATTTTTTACAAAGAAATTCGGAAATGGTACTTACCGAAACCTGCCATGAGCACGAGCGCCGGAAGGACGCCAAACCACATTGATGACGTCATGACGATTTCCAGTCTCTGACCGATGTACTGACAGAGTGTTTTTGTCGCGTTTTATATACAGTCGTGTGACATATGAATTGAACGAAATAGCGAGGGTAGTTCAACAAGTAAGACACAGTGCATCTACTTTTCTTTATTTTTAAGTGAAACAAAGCAATCAACGTTTTCCTAGCTTTTTATTAGATCAACTGCAGTACATTCTAATTTTTTTTTAATTATCATTTAGATTACTTTTTTAAATTTACTTAAGTTGCCTTGTCATTTAGAAAGTGACATGAATTATGGTATTATGGTGCTTTTTAGAAAAGGTACGGAAATTTTCCAGAAAAAAACAATTCCATTATTAAATCAATATTTAAACGATCATTAAAAATGACAAATTCTCCTTCAAAAATATCAAAGAGAGAAATATTACAAAAGGTCATGCAATAAGACTTCCGCTCTGTCTTGGTGGTTCATAACATTGTATTTATTTTTTTTATATTCTCACTAACTTATGAAACGAAAACCGGTTCGTAATTGTACGGTTAAATTAGTTGTATTTCAATAATCTCTGATACAACAGGACACACCACAGACATAATATTTACAAGAGTTTAGTCCAAAATCAACGTTTTTATAAACAAGGGTAACATTTGTGTATCTCGTCTTTCAATATTGGCCTTTGTTGCTCTAGGACTTGGCTTTCATTTCCAGTTTAATAATTGAACCCTTTTTGACCACCCATATTTACTGGTATACGTTCCGGTATAATCTAAGAAACAGCTTAACACACCGTAATAATCTTGTAAAAAAATTAATCTGAGTAATAATATACTTACACTTGTTCTTCGTTATTTCTGCATCATTTAACACACAACAAGCGTGTACCTTTAAGAAACGCTTATCGCAACCATTATCGACTCAATACTGTGTTTACGTACCCTTTTTCTCAAATATGAGTACAGTTCACATTTTTTTTCTCCAGAACTTTTAGTATTCATCTTGAAAAATGGAAAAGGGGAGATATATGTTGAGGAATAAAAGAAACTTGTTTTATAAATGTACATCCGGTTTAATCGTGTCTAACCATGAGAGATGATGTAAGATAAGTTTAGTTTCTGCTATCCAGCTAGTTTACTGAACAAGAGTGGTTCTATTCAATAACCCGCACTTGTTTCAAATAATGCACAAAAGGGCACATGAGGTGCCATCATCAAAGCTAGAAAGTTGCCTAAAGACCATAACAAGGAAACCCCAACAACAACAACAACAACAACAACAAATCTAAAGACCTCACTGCCTTCCTTAAAATAGCTGCTGGTTACTTTTTGCCTTGCAAGTTTTGAAAAATTTAACCCATATTTTTACTCATTTAAATATTTTATTTATTTTTTGTAAAAAAAAACAAGCAAATTTTAATGGCAAATTTGACAAACTTTACCATGGCAAATATGGCACATATTTTCGATTTTTTTAGTGTATAAAACTTATTTAATTTTATTTCAACACGTATATTAGGCGTCATTGTTATGTTTTTTATTGTATACATACATGAAGTATATTTGGAGCTGTTATTACTGTTAAGATATGGCCTAATTTTAATTTAGTGAACGTTTTGATTATTTCATAGAATTAAACATTCAGCTACATTGCCAATTTTTAATTTAGCTGAACTAATCCTTAACCTGTGAAGATTCTACAAACAAGGGCTCTGATTTGATATTTTGAAGTTTTGAAGTTCTTTCCTTTAGTCTTTTTCCTCGAAACTTGGACTAGGAAAATTTGTACATGGTAATTGCCTTCCTCAATGATTTAATAATCAATCACTGGGCTTTATGTTTCAATTGGTTGTTGTATTAAAGTTTGCAGGAAATATTGAACGGGTTTTCCGGTTAAATGACTTCGGTTGAAATAAAAAGAACGCGTTGTGGTCTGTTAAATGATTTTTGTGTCTGCTGGTACACAGTAGGTTCAACGTCCAGTTGTCTATCAGCAGGCGACACACATGATAACTAATCGCTCTTGTTTTTCAATTTTTTTGCACCCTCTCAGAATGAAATTTTTCGTCGCCGTCATCAGCTTCGTTGCTGTCGTTCAAACGCCTAATTAGAGAATGTACTTGTTTTTGAGTCGCTTTATTAGGTATGAACCACTGCTTCGTGAGATTGTTCCGCAGTTTTACACTTTGATACCATTCCAGTATAAGAATGTGTAACATATGGCCGTGGACTTAGTTTGCTTCTTGGCCAATATGCGACAGGATTGTAGGTAAAATCCCGGTATGATCAGATTTACATCATACGCATGGCTTGGATGAAACGTTAACACATAACACATATGTGGGTGGGTGAAATATAAGCGAATTTTATGTTATTTTTATCATTTGCTAATTCGAAGGTGCTTTGGTTCATATTTTGTTAAAACAAAACTGCTATTAACTTGAAGGCAGGCCAGGTAAAAGCAATATTATCATGTTTTTTGTTGTTGATATAATTAAGGGAAAATACTTGATATAAATTGGATAGAATCACAATTTATAAAATTTCTATCTCGATCTTTTAACATTGAAATACCTTTTGAATAAAGGACACATATTTGTACTTTGTTTTTCTGTCTTTACATTCTTAACAAAAGACATTTCACCTTTGGTTTAAACAAATTCTAAGAGCTGAATATTTACTATACGACATTTATATTCATAGCTGGTGATGTTATGATTGATATGAACAAAGTTACAGAAAAAGCAAATCTTTTCCAATCTTTTTGGAATTAAAGTAATGGAAGTAAGGGAACGTCACGTCACGGCCATTCTTGTTCAAAAGGTAAAACCTAAAACAAACCTAAAACAAACAAAAATGTTTTGGGTTTTATTTTGTTGTTGTTGTTGTTGTTGTTTTTATGCGTTGGTTACTTCAAAAAGTTGTTTTGAATATTCATAGACAAAACAAACTATATGTTTATAGATTGATTCAGTATTTACGTAATTTAAAAATTTGTCTCTTTCGTACGTTTAACAATCTTTTTTTCAAATGCTCTTATATCTTAATGGTCCGTAGAAAAATTAACTAATCTTGTATTTTATTTGTAGTGGTGAAGAGGTGAATGTGTAAAGAATTTGTCCATAATAAGCAACAACATATAAGAAAAGATAATAATTTTATTATTAACAGTCCGACATAACGAATATACACATGATTTATGACGGTTAAGAAACAAAACTTTATAACAAAAATGTTGGAATAGGTTTTAACAAATACATATCCCTTAAGAAACAACTTAAAGAAGATATCGTAATGAAAAATAATAAAACATAACAACCTACATTTAACGGACATATGTAAATAAATATCACTGTAATGGACAAAAAGTATAGAAATAATTATAAGAATATAGCTTGAATGCTACCTTCAAAAACAGCTAGCTACAGTTCCAGGAAAAGACATTGATGGTTTAGATATCGCGATGTTTTTACTAGTCATTTATTTTGCGTTTATTTTTACTTGTCATTCATTTCGCGATTATTTTTACTGGCCATTCATTTCGCGATTTCATTATTGACGTTCATTCTGTGATTATTATATTGGTCGTACTTTTCGCGGTTTCATTATTTGACATTCATTTCGCAATTCCTCTGTAGTCGTTGTCCAGGTTGCGATTCCAATATTTTTTGTTACGAATCATTCTACTTTATCTGCCTGAAAAATATACCCGCGGTTTTCTAATATTGTTTGTGAAGAAAACTAGTCCTTAGGAGATAATCATATAACACTGACAGTGTCAAAATAATGAATAAGGATATAAAAATTTGTATTTGGATAATAGGATTTCTTATCGTCAATAAATTTCGAGATAATTTCATTGTTGTTTTCTTAAATTCTGTTTTCTTTTCATCTTTCGCCGTCTTGTACATGAATTTGAATGCGATCTGAAAAGATAGCAAAACAACACGATATTCAATTATATTGACAACAACAATGATAATCTTTAACTAACAGGACCATATTTTTCAAATGAGCTTTGATAAGAGGCGAAAACATGCTTTGAAAAAATTGTGAAAAAAAAAACTACTTTTTTGAAAACCAATTTACTTACATGTAACCTAACACAGTAAAAGACAGTGCACATGCGGTATGTAACTCTTTTATCGACACAAAATGACAAATGCTTTTTATTCTCAAATCACTTTTCGATTTTAAGTCCCGAAATGTGACGAAAGCAATCAGTGCAGTACATATTGAAATTATTATGATGCCTAAGGGTTTATGTAACTAATGCACAAGATCCAGCATGGGAATAAATTTTGGAAGCACCTGACGTTATCAAACAATCTTACATTGGTGTCGAATAGTCTGGGCACGTTACAGACGATAATATATGCACCAAACCTTGCAACATTTATTTAATTGTTATTAATCTTTGAAAGATTATTATAAGAAAAGAAAGCTTTTATGATGCACGGTGAAGACAAGCACGTACCTCCGGGAACAACTAGTTTATTATCGTGATACCAGTTGACCTTCATATCCGGGCTTTTCGTGACTTCAACTTCAAGCTTTAAAGGGGTGTCTTTCATAGACCACTGAGAAAAAGGAGGGATAACAAATCTCGGACGCTTTTTAAAGTCAGTAAATAAACTCATAGAGGAATTCTGTGTTGTTTCTTCTTTGACTACAGTTGTTGTCTCTTGTTGAACCAATGTCGATAACTTTGTATCAATTTCAGTTACAGTTTGTTCCGTTATTTCCTTAACAGTTACATTTCCTGCAGGAGCTTGAGTAGTTGCCTTTTCATTAACTGCGATTTTAACGTCGTCTGCTTCCTTTTTCTCGTTTGTAGTGTCGGCTGCCGGTTCAACGACAGCGCTGTCTGTGGTATCATCATTACCTTCAACTGTCTTTTCTTTAATGAAATATAGTAACAGTTTGAATTTTATGAAATAGAAAACATATCAACAAATTTCAAATTTTATATACACGTATTTGCGTGAAGTCTATATAACTTGTGACCGTAATTAATCTTTTAAAAAATTAATGTGGTAAAATTTATTTTCATTCAAGTCAGTTAATCGAACTTTTGGTTATTAAGCTATACCAACATGTTTAAACAAAAATAGTACTACAAAATATTAACCATTTATTTTGATAGATGCACACGACTCAGCCTTTCCTAGAGCATTCTCAGCTACACATATATAAACTCCTGTATCACCAACTGTAGTATCAGTTATCGTTAGCAAACCTTTCCCATCATCACATTCAATGCTAACCCTTCCTTCGTTTACAAGCGTTTCCCCATCTTTTGTCCTAAAATGGTTAAATAAAATTTCAGGCTTCAGAATCATCATATAAGTTTCCATTTAATGGATGTTTTCAAATGAGGTCTTAAAATACATATATAATACGAGTGCAAACAATGACGAAGATACATAGTTTGAAATTATCCTGTAAATCGATTTTATGCGACAAGTTCCGAGTTACTTACAATTTTTAAAACAATATCTTACATTTACGAATCTAACGAAAATGTTTCAGAGTTTTATCTGGTTTTTTGGCCCGGGAGGTGTGTGTAATGGCTTTTGATTTTTTTGTTTGCTTTTGTTTTCATTATTTGAAGAAGTAAATAAATTTTTTTTATACCATGATAAGGTAGGTGTTGGTGTTCCTTTGGCAACGCAACTGATGGCAGCTGTCTGGCCGGCTTCAGTGTTCACATTATGCAAAGGACCCTCAAAACAAGGGGCTTCGCCTTCGTCCTTACCCACAAGACATGGCTCTGAAGAATAAAACCATGTTTAAAATAAATTTATATAACACATAAAAGATTGAAATTTAAAACAAATTTTGACCTTAATGATAACTGTAAGCTCAGAAGTGTTCTTGTATATATTAGAACGTTGTTACATATATTTACGAGACATGGACAAGATTAAATATGTTGTAGGTCTAGTATTTAGTTCTAAGAACACTTCCACAAATCCAGCTCAAATCTTCTGTCGGGTTCTGGACTGTTGTTCAAACAGTATGAAATATCAAACTGGTTTTCTCTGTACGTTCATTTTAAACATTGCTTCTTCATTGATGGCACTTTGAAGTTTATATGTGAAAATATTTTTTTAAATGAATATACTATTTATCCAACATAATCGTGCATTTTACTTAACATTTACTGAAATGATTTAAATGAAAAACATTCTGTGAGGAGAAGAAGTAGTTAAATTTAAAAATGTTTTTTATTGAAAGGCAATATCATGAAACGTTACAAAATCAGACATGATAGAGAATTTTCCCATGCAATTACCTTGTACAACAATATGGGCTGTTGTAGCCTCTGTTCCACATTCATTTACAGCTTCACACCTATAACAATCACTGTCAGACATGTGCATGCTGGCAATTATAAGTGAATGTGAACCTTCGATACTGCTCTGTTAAAATAATCATAATAAAATAATATGAATTTTCTATAAATCGGTTAAAAAAAAACAAAAACAAAACATTTGAAATGAATGTGAACCTATTAATGAACTCTATTAACTATTACGAAATCTTTGTAAAAAAAATCTTCGATACAGCTCAGCTAAAATAATAAAATCATTGCAAGTGAATGCCCTAGGTCTTCTACTTTTCAAAAATAATGACACTGTGACTTTTAATACATCTAAAAAAAATCATAAAATATTCATAGAAATCCAATGCCAGCTTACAACACTGCTCTGTAAAATGAATACAAAAATCATAATTAAATACTATTAATATTTGATAAAATTTAGTTTCTTTCGGGGTTTTAGTCACATCGACAGTTTTAAAGTCAAAATGCGACTCTGTAAGTCTTCTGGTTGATTCAATTCAATTCTTTATTTCACTCATTTCATGTTAAACATGACATAATGAGGTAAATGAGCCGCGTCACGACAAAACCAACATAATGGGTTTGCGACAAGCATGGATCCAGACCAGCCTGCGCATCCGCGCAGTCTGATCAGGATCCATGCTGTTCGCTTACAAACACTATTACAAATAGAGAAACTGATAGCGAACAGCATGGATCATGATCAGACTGCGCGGACGCGCAGGCTGGTCTGGATCCATGCCGGTCGCAAACGCACTATGTTGGTTTTGTCGTGACGCGGCTCAAATATTGATACAAATACATAGTATGACATGCAAATTAGTACAATCCAGTGCCTCTCAGTGTTTTACACCAGGCACGTGAGGACACATGAGTAGAACCATCGACTCCATTAAAATGAATCATTATCAGTTTTCAGTCTTTGTTATCCTTGTAAAACATAACAAAAATCAATGTTAACCTCTGATAGTGTGTCTAAAGATAATTAAAAAAAAACAACATTATACATCAATGTATGTGAATCATCGATACTGCTTTGTAATTATGTAAATGAATATTTTTCTAACAGTTGAGTCTCTATAAAATTAATAACTTTAGAACTGATCAAAATGGGAGTCTCACAAAGATATATTTGAGACATGGGAAGCACCCATGTCATAACCAGCAGCTGTCACTATCGGAATGGTAAGGTTTGATATACCCTTAAATTTGGAGTGAAGCATAATACAATTATCGGAAAATTACTTAAACTATGTGGCTGTGAAAGGTTTTATTAAAGTATAAAACTTTTTTTAAATTACAACATTTGGACGATTAGCAAATAACGGAAACAACTGAATAAGCATTTAGTGAATGTGAAGGTTAGCAAGAGACGGTAAAAGAGGAAAAACGGATTTGTAAATCGGTCAACAGTTTTCTTTACTGCTTAAATTATTCATCATTTTACTTGACTGAATACAAATAAATACGCAGAGTTTGATTTAATTATTAAATAATGCCTCCCTTTTTTTGGTAAACGATCATTAAATCACTAAATTCAGCAAATATTTTTAAAGGTAGCTTTTTAACATGACATTTTAGCCTCAAGATTCGTTACAATTTTACAGAAGTCTGGAAGGTGTTCATAATAGTATTATTCTTGTTTAGCGTACATAAAAATGATTCAAACTACATTGTAGCTTAAACCTTACACTGTTAAATATCTTAAATGTACTTCAATCTAAACGTTTTGAGAGAGAGTTTCAAAAATTATACTGGCTGAATAGCGAATAGTGCAGACCATGATCAAACGTGCTAATCTTGGTCAGAACTTGTCAATGGTAAAATCTGTTGCTGGCACCAAGCTATTGGTTAATGCCCTTACCATTAATAAATACTTCATTTATGCAAAAATAATCAGTGAGCAACATAAGAAAATAATAGTGTGTCGAAAATGAAAATATTGTCATATGTAGCATAAAAATATGGAAAGCATGTGATAATTTACTCAACACTTGAACATTTGTCTTAACTCGACTTCTAACGAAAAGAATATTTGCTCATCTGTAGGCGTACAACCTTAAGACAAGTGAAAATATCAGACACCTACCGTTATAGTGTACTTCCCTATAGTAGGTTTAATGGGCACGTCGTTCTTGTACCATTTTACTTTAGGAGCTGGAAAACCTTCAGCGACACATTCTAATTTCACATCTTCACCTTCTGTTGTCTCCTTATCACTTAGCTTGACCTTGAACTCTGGGACAGTCTTCCTTGATCCATCCGTTGAATCATTATCCCCAGTATTTTCAGCTGAGAATAAAACAGCCATCGTCTTTATTAGAAGTATTAGTAATGTTGAATGTATTTGTTTCTCTTAAAATGCCGGTAAATGGCACAAGCTCCGAATAAATCTAAATTCGTTTAGTCTTGAAACCTTTGCAAATAAAAACGCATTTTAACAGGCAAATAATAAGCACTTTTGCATGCAGTGCTTTTCTTTAACACAAATAAATTCAAACATTGTTATTTTCGAAAATTCATTCAAAGTATTTAGATTATTAAAAATAAATCTATCTATTCTAATTGTTAATTTCACTAAAGCTTAAAACCAATTGTTAATTTTTAAAATTACTTGTTATTACTATTGAAAAAAACAATAACAGAAAAACCTGGAATTGCAAATTATTACTTTATATTATATTTTTCATGAAATTAAAATTACATATGTACTAATCAATTAAAAATAGCATTCGGCATATAACAACGTGAATAAAAATAACCTGATTTCAAAGCGTTAATTAACTTATTTCTATATCTACATGTATATCATTTGTTTATAAATATATTTATAACATAACAGAACACAACATATTTTGAGTCATTACATAATACTTGGACATCTGCTGTGGTTGACGCATGTCCGCCGGATTCTGAGTAAGCGACACACGAATATTGCCCGGAATCTTCAACAGTAGCCTTCCCGATCAGCAATGAGGCAATTCGAGTTTTGGGATCCATGCTCCAACTGATATTTGGGCCTTCTTCCAAATCATTGCCATCTTTTAACCTTATTTCATATCAAAATCTTGAACATGAGTACATGATTATTTTTAATAATTTTATTGCTCTATTCCTGCAACCCTATCAACATATTCAAATAAACACGTGACATGTTATTGTCGGAGTTTGATGGAATTATTTTTGTTATACTGTTTTACTATATTCAATTTTTTTGAATATCTAACATTTACCAACGTTCAAACCCCGCTGTAATTATATTTTGCGAGAATCACTGACTTTATGCCAACAACTTATACAACTATATACACAAGTTTCACAACACCCACGCAATGGTCTATTTAATAAAATATTTACCCTACTAGACTACACACAACAGATAAGAATTTCAAAACCATAATGATGACATTTAAGTAGAGAATCGACAAAAACAATTACGTACTAACAATAGATTTTTAAAATAAACGCTCATATTATGGAATACACAATCTTAAGACTTGTGTGATCTTTTGTTTGAAAGTAAAACTGCTAGTTCAGTCTGATCAGGATCCATGCTGTTCGCTTATCAACTTTATTACAAGTAGAGAAAAATTGATAGCGAACAGCATGGATCCTGATCAGACTGCGCGGATGCGCAGGCTGGTCTGGATCCATGCTGGTCGCAAACCCATTATGTTGGTTTTGTTATGACACGGCTCTTATTATTTATCCCAACATTTCAGATGCTAGCGTGAACAATCCCACCGACAACAGACATTACTGACCACACAATTTTAGGGATGGGTTCTCCTCTAACTTGACATTCAAGATGAACGTGTTCGTCGTGTTCGTGAGGCGTCAATTTCTCCGGCAAGGCATGAGGAAAACTTGGTGCTTCATCGGCATCTATTACTTCTACCTCTGTTCAAAAGTCAAAGAACATTATATTCGACATAAGATCTTTAATCAAAAGAAATCTTTACATCATTTTGATAAATGTAGTTGTTGCAAAATCATTATATTCCAGCTTGTAGTTAAAGCATAAAAAGGCAGCAATTAAAGTAACTGAACTATTTCGAAAACAAACAGCGCTTAAAAATCAAAATATCAAATTCGTATTACATTCAAAAAGACAAATTGAAAAGACAAAATAAGCAGTGTTACTCGATCAAGGCATCATGCAAAACAACTTTTACAGACATTATATCGTATGCCATGTCAAGGTTCATTTTGAAGCACGTCAACATGTTTCACTTAGCTTTGTATCAGGATGCTCCCCTTCATATAATGCTATCAAATGTAAGCTCTACCATACAAAGGTTATGATAAGATTTAACTACTATACATATAGTTCTAACTTGTAGCAGCTATTTACATAGGCATTGATATACAGACAACATGAAACATTTAAGCTGGTATAAATCAAGGTAAGTGTGTAGGTGCTTTCTAAATGGAAATACAAGTAGATAATGAATTTAGGGAGATATTGCAACAAATACACAGTTTTGTAGTCGTGGTGAAAATGGAAAATATATATGAACGGGGATAAATATATACAAAGTAGGAACATTGTACTGTGGCATGGGGGCAAGGTTAGGTTCACATTTCATGGATAGTGAAATATTTCATAGATGACATGGTAGAAAATCTAAGGTGATTAAAACTGGTATTGGAGGAGTGCTTTGGTGACTGGTGATAACATACTTAAAGTAAGAATATTGAGGAAATGGAGGATGCTGATGAAGAAATGGACAGCGGATCAACACGCCTACTGGGACATTCTAAAGGTGGTAGCATGGATTTCATGAGATACCTTTATCTATTATAGTTGTCCAGTCGGCCTCCGTGTTGCCTGTTGAAAATATATTTGTATATGAACTCATAGTTAGTTTTGAATTTTGTATCATTAGTATTAATTAGTTTCAAGCAATGTTAATACCTAAACCATTCTTGCGTAATAAAACCATGCATAAACTATGTTATTTGTCATACCAATCTTTCATTAAATTGCTTTAGTCCGTTGCAACTTAAATATTTGGCTTTAAAAAGCTATGCCTTTCCTTCCAAATGTTATACGTTTGCACTAATTGCCTGCTTGTCTAAAAACTCTGAAACTCTTTGCAAAATAGCTGAGCAAAATAAAATTAACAAAATTATACAATTTAGAAATTTCTTCAATTCTTCTCATTCAAGAACAAATTTAAACTTCAGTATCCGATTTAAGTTTAGACATTTTTAAAATATTATCTATTGTAAAACTCTACTGTACCGATATGAAAAACTATGAACTACCTTAAAGTACCGGACATGCAGTTCAATATTTTCTCAAAAAAAAGAAGATATTTATGAATATTTTAAAGATTTTAACTTACATAGATGGAAACTAGGAACCAAATGCGCAATGTTAAAAGCTGTTCCCTCTAGATCTGTCCTAGAAGCTGCCACTCCAGCAATTCTGTGTAAGTAAATTACATGTATGATTAAAAAGTTGGCAATAACATTTATCATTGAAGTAACGGTTATTGAATTATTATCGGAATCTTCAACTTACATTTGGCTCCAGCGGATTTTGCTTGATGGAAGCTCCGAGTCTGGCGCCCGATTTAAAAGACCACAGGGAGTGATCTAATGTCGTATGTCAAGCTACTTTAATAAAGCCTCTTTTATTTTATAGATTCTCGTATTTAATTTATATTTCCAACAGCAACATTAGATGGCATTACTTTATTCACGTTTTACCGGATCAAAGTCGTTCAGCAATACGGATTTTCTTTCTTTGGTAAAAATACCAACTGATTATTCATTTATTGAAATCAACAGTTTAAATAAAGATTTAAAAAGAATATTTATAAAACTAACACTGATGAAAGATCTTCGGCAGTATCCAATTCTGTGGCAAAACTAACTTCAGTAGAAATTGGAAGCTGCATTTCCGCTGTGCACGAACATTGTATTTGCCCAGCCTCGTTTTCAATCTTTACTGTATAATTGCCAGCATCGATGGGTCTCGCACTAGCAACCTCGAGTCCATACCAGTCTCCAACAGCCAAAATATTGTAGTGATGTTCATCAAACAGCTGTATCCCGTCCTTATACCAGCTAACTGTTATACAATAAAGAATATTAAATCTGTCTGTAGAATTTTTGAAGTTTTCAACTTTCTTTTTGGACTATTGTCCTCGCCGGAAGTTTACCGAAAACGAATGTACATTAAACTATCAAATAGCTGTATATCGCTTTTTAGTCGTGAAATAGATATTTTCATATTTTCTATTTTCATATTTTCTAATATGAAATAGATAGTTTCATGTTTTCTAAAAAAGGAATAGACAGTTTCATATTTTATGAAATACATATTTTCATACTTTCTATAATGTGATGGATATTTCCTGTAATGAAATAGGTATTTTCTAAAATGGAATAGTTACTTTCATATTTACTATAATGAAATAGATATTTTCATATTTTTTTATAATCGGATCGATATTTTCTATAATGAAATAGATATTTTTTATATTTTCTATATTTTTTTCTGTAATGAAATAGATATTTTCATATTTTCTATAATGAAAGAGATATTTTCATATTTTTTATCTGTCAATAAAATTAGTAACAACAGAGCGAAGCTACAGAAGTACATGTAATGAGAATTGTCGTACTTCAACCCAATGGTCAACGCAATAGAAACATTATCTTGAACATTCAAATCATTAAAATACTACATTTATATATAAAAGTATATATAGTAAGACCAAAAAGCATAGTACATTTATCATATAAAAATAAAACAAATACAATGCATCTCATACGTTATATACGTGTTTACCATACGGTTTAGGGTTTCCGTTACATCTTATCTCCAGCATGAAGCGTTGTTTACTGTGGATGGGCATGAAAGACGGTAGACGCATCGTGAAATCGGGAATGCGGTCAAACAACTTGCTCTCCACTTTCTGAACATATACAGGCACTTTATCTAATTCCGGAGTTTCTATTTCACCGTTGACTTCTCCATTTGCGTCAGTTGCAACAATAACACCGTCTAAATCACGACCTTTCCAGAATTCCTGCTCGAACTTGTCTGTAACATAAAAGCATCATTTTAAGATCTAATCTAAGTCCAAGTTATCATTGATACCATTTTGGCAAGTGGTTTTATGCAATTCAAGTACTTTCGACAAAGTGAAGAAATGCTCTTGCATTGGTCTGATAAAATAATTTTAATAATGTAACCTCATATGATCATGTTAGGACCATAATTATTGGACACACTGTAAGTGAAGAAGAATAAAGATCACGTGACCATGTATTTACCTCTCACACTAACACGGACCATACTCTGTGCACGTCCGGCCATATTATGTGCCTCGCATGTGTACAAACCAATGTCTCGCACTGTAGAATTATGGATTGACAATTCTGCAATGCCCTTTGGAAATACCTCTGTCTTAATTCGTTCACTGTCGTGAATTTCTAAGCCATCTTTGAACCTTGAAAAAATATTAAAAGGTGCAATCAAAAAGATAGAAAATTATAAATTTGTGAAACTAAAAACAGATGTCCAATGACCATGGTTTGTATAAATTCTGAAAATTTAGAAAAAAAAAAGTCAGTATGTATATCTCTTTATGGAATAGCAAATAAGAGCTTTTTACATGATTTGATGTGAAATTGTTATTTGTGCAATTGATTGTTCTTGTTAGTCAATGACTGTATGTGTATTTAACTAATGCATTCATGGCATTTACACTCATAAATTGCCGCCAGATCTTTAAAGACAACTTTAAGATTTTACTTTTTGGTAAGAATCATTTGGGAACATAAAACATAAAAACCCTAAATCAGATTACTTAGGAAACTGGCAATGTTATCCTTAAAGTATACTCCTTTTTTTTCTAAAAATGGGTAATAAGTACTGACATAAAATAGTCATAAATGATACTAATAATCCTCATTCGCCTTTTCCTATGACTAGATTACATGGTAGGTTTTTCAGTTTTTATAAAATTAAAATATAAAATATTGAGTCATACCATTTGAAGCCTGGAGCAGGACTGCCTTTAGCGGTTACCCTGAAGTTGATGAGCTCACCCTCGTTAACGGTCAACCTTTTTAACGGCTTAACAAACATTGGTTTCACAGGTACTTCGTTTGTTGTTTCCAAAGCGGCTACAAGAGCAGTATAAAAATCAGTATAGAACACCTGAGAGTGTTTTTAAATAGTCCAGCACATCGACACCTTATTTTATTTCAAGTTATTTAGTTATTATTCAAACTTTTAAACAATTCTATTTTGCTATGCCATGTATGCTTCAATGAGAAAACGCACTGATTTTCTTCCAAAAAAGGGGGCATTACTCGAAGAAAATTGCGTGTAAGCAACTATTAAACTATTTTATCCTTTATAAAAAACACGAATATAATGGCCAGTGTGAGTTGTTTTCTGAATAAACATAAGTACATGGATTTATACAAGAAAAAATGATGCACTTACGTTCAACTTGAAGGTAGCAGGAAGAATAAATCTTTCCTTGTCTGTTTTTAACAACGCATGTGTAGTTTCCCGTGTCTGTTATTTCCGTGTTTGGAATTGTTAGGCTTAAAATACCTTGTAAACACTGAAAAAAATGATAATTGAGCCGCGTCACGACAAAACCAACGTAATGCGTTTACGACCAGCATGGATCCAGACCAGCCTGCGCATCCGCGCAGTCTGATCAGGATCCATGTTGTTCGCTATCAGTTTCTCTACTTGTAATAGGGTTGGTAAGCGAACAGTATGGATCCAGATCAGACTGCGCGGACGCGCAGGCTGGTCTGGATCCATGCTGGTCGCAAACGCATTACGTTGGTTTTGTCATGGCGTCGCTCAATTATAGTACATGTAATAGTAACTATGGTGATGATGATGATGACGGCGGCAATGATGCAGTTGTTATCTTCTGTACTAATTTTTAAATCAAGTATAACAAATTTATGTTTCACAACGAGAAAAGAAAGTCGCACAACGCCTATAATAATGAATTAAAGAAAACACGGAATCTGATTCGGTTTTAAAACCAACTATTGAATATACCAGATAAAATCATTAAAACATTTGCTAATTGTTATAGATAGAACACGCCTTAGATATAATGAAAGCAGTATCTGAAATACACAGACTGCAATCCTTATTTAAGCACTTGCAGCGTACACGTAATTACTTCAAAAATCACATAAAGTATTTTATCACAAAAAAAGAAAAAAAGACATCTCATACATAATTATATTACATATATACAGTACAGCAACATAAAAGCAAATAAAATATCGATTAAGATAACATTCACATACTAAAAACGAAATAATGAGATATGCGAATAAAATCCTCAGATAGAAACTGTCACAATTTTCTATTAAATATGGAGGTTACATTTTAAATCAATATCAAATGAATCTTGTATACAGTTAACTAAAATATTATGAAATCGAGAACCAAAAAAAGTTTGTTTTTTTTTAAATTGAAAACCAAAATCAATAGATTAGACAAATACATATCAAATTGAAAAAAAATATCAATACTTAGAACTTCAAAATCATCAATGATTTAAACGACACCCACCAAATAAAATGGATTTTAGGACTATATAGACTCTAGAATCTGATTTACCTTCAAATAATATTTAAAGCCGTCAAATATTTCTATATTGTTCCTGTACCATCTGACATCGGCAGGATGTTTTCCGGTCATTAAACAACTAAGAACGGTTAATGAGCCTTCCACAGCACATTTGTTCTTCAAGTGAATTGGAAAACACAGATTTTGGTCTTTATCTAGCTGCCATTTTATTAGAAATTTCTTCATAGTGTCTGTGTCACTTATTGAACTTAGAAGAACGTCAGCTTCGTTGAATCCTCGATCGTTAATTTCAAGGGCTTTCCGGGATTTTATGGAGTCCACCAAGGCATATTCATATGACCGCGTGTATTTCACAACGTCAAGTTTACCCGATGGATCTTTAAAAAGAAGAATGGTGGTGACAATCAAGTTTTATCTAAATCTTTAAAAAAAATAAGTAAATTCACACTGGATATCTTTCATTTTAAAAACAAAATGTTAAAATGTTACTTTTTCAAATTCTCTGTTAGTAAATATGATAATCGGCGAAACACTAAAGAGTAGTTATGATCACGAAATGAAAGTTGAAAATTATATATACAAGCTACGAAGCAAATATTCTAGTCACCTTCAACAAACAGTTTTGCATCACATGATGTCCATCCCATTTTGTTGTAAATTTTACATTTGTATACACCTACGTCACGTGGTCTTGTTCTTCTGATTTCAAGTGTTTGGACCCCTTCTTCTGACGAAATGTAATACCTTTCCATTCCAGGCATAGAACCCACGATTGGAATGTCATTGCGGTACCTTCGGACAGATAATTTTCTTTTAAAAGGCTAATTAGCTCGGCAAGAAACATGAAAACAAATGTAAATATTTGCAATGTCGGGACTTTCATTACAGAGCTCCATATACAGAAGTGGATTTTACTATGATTAGTTAGTGAGAAACTAGTATAAGTTCTGATGAAAATGTATATAATAATTCAGAAAACAATATCAAAATTCAAAAGCATTATATTTGATCACACTGTGCATGTAGAACAAATCCACACATATATACCAAATAAATCCGGCAACTTAGAGAAACAAAGTTTGATTAAATGATACTCAATGGGTACAACTACACAGAATTTACGAAAATGTTATTTGTATCAAGAGGACAATCATTTTTGTAAACCAACTTAGCACTGTTTCATTATAGTTTAGTCTTGTACTAACCATTTCACATCAAAGACCTCAGCTGGGTTAGTTTTACAACGAAACACGCAGTCTTTGTCCTCGGTAGCAATAACATTTTCAATCGTCTCGACGAAACGAGGCAAGCCCTTTACTTCAGTGTCGTCTGCGCAGGCGTCTGTGTCTGAAAAAAATAATGCATATTCATATGTGAAGGCCAAATCTATATAAATTTTGTTAATAAATAAATGTAAAAAAAGGCTATTTACTTTGATCGTCTTGAAAATTGATCTGAAGATGTGGAAATTTAACCTTTTAAATCATTTGCAAATTTATAATTGTTCCTTATTCTTAAAAAAAATCTTTTTTATTTGTTGTTGGTAAGTTTCATATATACAGGTAATTTCCGATATTAGCTATCTATAGCAAATAATAAATTGTTATGGAACCAAATATTATTTGTCATCACATTAACATTCATAAAAAATCCCCTAGGACTCACTCCATCAACATTTTTTCCAAGAAATGTTTTATAGATACAGAGAATGTATGTACTGGGAGAAAGCTCGCTGGACATGCGTTTGGGTCACAAGTTGTGGCCTGTTAATCATTTATTGAGTTGCTTTCTTTATCCCCGTACCTAAATGTAGAATGATATAAGAAATGTTTGGGCAAACAACACCATTTATTCAACAATAAATGATCATACGTCATTTGATAGACATTATATGGTACGTTGTAAATAAGGGCATATACTCTTCTTGAAATATGCTTTAAAACATATTTTTGCAGGAAAAAAAGAATAGGAATAACGTCTTTTGGGGAACAAATCATTATAAATTTCATTCAGCTAGCCTACAGAATTAAATCACACGTATCACTCGCCAACTTCCTGGCAGTTGTTTGGTTTCATGTTGTGTAATGTTCAGGATATAAGAACAAGTATTATTTTCAGGACTGTATGTCACAGATTCCTGGCGTAAATAGATTAATAATGACATGAAGACTGGTGATACAAAATTCCAAATTGATTGTTTGTTTCTTTGACGAGCTAATGCATAGGTACAACATTCTTGCAGAGTTTTGCCAACTAATAAAAGAATCCTCGTTTTTTAGTACATGTGTTTATGTTCTGATTTTGTCTGTGCCGTTTAAATACCATAATATTAGCTAGATACTTTGCTTCTGAGAAACCCTTGCATTAAAACTTAAATGCGTGGAGTGTTGTCATTGTAATTTCAATTTCGTTTAAAAAAGGAGAATACAATCATGCCATGTTATTCTCCAGACATATCATGGCATTGATCACACGACATTGTCCGTCTTTAATTAATTTGTATTTTTCCGCGTTATCCAAATTCGTGATTTCCCCCAGGCCTCACATACAAGTAAAAATATCAGTGAAACAAGCCAAAAGACATTCAACTTGTACTCCTATTTATGTTTATTTTCTGTTTTAAAACTCACTCATTCCATTTAAAATTCCCGTCGCCAATTTCTTAAAATCTGACATGTAAAGTCTAATAATTAAGATTTTATTTAGAACTTTGGATCTTTGTATCCAGCGTGCATTTATCTTCATAATTATTATCAATATTCGTTCATATTCCGAGAAATATTTGATGGCATTTTTGATCGACCTTACTTGATGTTGAAAATACGCTGCAAATAGCTTGCGATAATGGCCAATTTCAAGAAGTATGCATGCAGATACTTACATGTATTCTTTTTTGTATTTTCTGATCGCAGATCAGAAAATTCAATGCGGACATTCAATCTCTGAAACAGAATTTTCACGACAAACCTAACAACAAGTAGTTCTCAAAACAGCTTAAAACTAGCGATGTTAAAGAAAGAAATATTTTTATTTTGTTACAAGTATCAAACAAATTACAACGCATTCAAAGTTTAAAAGTAGCGTTGGCTTATAGAATTGTCAATTCACCAATTACGCGGATGAATATGAAAATGCTATTTTTAGCGATGTCGATTACCGAATACCTCAGAGCGTATTACACTGTCGAGTAGTGGAATATATACATGTCGGACTGTTTTGGGGAGAAGATTTTCGCTAAATTATTTACATCAATTTTAGACAACAGGTATATCGTGAAGAAAATACCTCGAAATTAATAAGGATTACCATGGAGCTAAATATAAGATTTATATATCTGTGGGAATGGATATTCTAAAATTAGAATTATTTGATTTTATTCAGGCTGTTTTCGTTAAACATTTTCGTGGTGCAAGGGTAACGCGCTCGTTTAGGGTGTGAGAGGTCTGGGGTTCAAATCCCAGTCGAGGCAACTTTTTTTTTATTAAGGAAGTAGCCACGATATGCAAGGATAAAAGGATAAAGTGTGGCTGTCAAAAACAATGAACATAAATGAATTTTGATGCAACTCTAGTCATGCATAGTTCCGTATGTATCAAACTCAAACTGTTAAAGTAAAAAATCCAAACGCAGTCGCTGCATCTCGGTGCCATGCAAGGTGAATTATAGTATATAAAAATAAACTAATACAGGAAAATACATACAGATATACAGTACGATTTAGATTGCAAAGATCAGAAAATACCACAGAGCTTGCAGCCCTTTCATTTAAAAATGTAACAGATCAAAAAGTATTTGCATCATTTCCAATCTGTAATTTCCATCTCTTTTAGAAAGCTACTTGACAGTTCATACAATGATTGATTGTATGTATAAACAAACATTGATGATCATTTAAACAGCTACTCGATAGGTCACACAATGATTATATGTATAAACAACACCGATGGTCTTTTAAAAGCTACTCGATAGGTGACACAATGATTTAATGTACATGTATAAACAATATTGGTGGTCGTTTAAAAAAGCTACTAGACAAGTGACACAATGATAATATGTCTAAACAACATACAATTTGATTGTCAAAGATACTCGACATGTGACAAAAAAGTATTGATGAGTAGCTTCCACCAAATGACAATTTACTCGACAGGTGAAAAAGATAGTATGAATAAACAAAATTGACAGGTTTTTAAAAAGCTACTTGACAGATGGCAAAAAGGAAAGAAAAGAAAGAAATAAAAACAATATTAACAATATCAAGTTATCATCAGCGTCGGTAGCCACGGCTGAAATAAGATAATATTCTACACCATAGGACGATAACCAGTCCTGTATTTACAGAAAAAAACAAGAGAACTTTAGTATTTTTTATACGTAATAAGAAACAAGATCTTCGTCGTTGTCATCATTTTAGTTTATTGTTTATATAGCACATTCTGCATACAGGATGAAGAAATCGGTCAAAGGGAATTAACTTTAATCACGTAACGATTCACTTGTTTGTGAAAACAATATGTTTTTCTTTTTGAAAATAAGTGATAGGTCATTTGGCCGCGGCTGCATAAGACAGTCCTGGTTTGGAATACTGCGTAGGGGTCTGGATTGTTGTTTGAGGCATAGAACTATATGACTGTTTAGATGTAGTTGAGTATCCTTGGCTTTTGCTTAAATCCTGAGCATGTGTTTTATCCTTTTCCGGCCACGGAAGATTTAACCAATAGCGGTAGTTTAATTGCAATTGCGTAGCAAATCCCTGTGATGCATATTTCACGTAAATGTTTCCTTCAAAAGACCACGCTTTTTCAACATTTGACTTGTCTTTTACACGACAGGATGCCAACATGTCCGCGTTCATTTTCGTCAAATCTTCGTTGACATAAATCTTATGTTCTTTCAGTTGTTTTGACCTGTTGAAAAGTTCGACTTTTGTTTGTCTCTTACAAATTTAACTATAATTGGCCTATGCTTGCCGACTTTGTATTTTCCAAGTCTGTGGCTGATGACAATATCTGCTTTCTGCAGAACAAGATCTGATTTGCTTTTTATTGTGTGTAATAATTTTTGCAATCGTCCGTAACGCCAAAGATTCGAACACTATTTCTGCGACTGTATTGTTCGGACTCGTTTTCAAATTTTTCACAGCAAAATTCATCTGTTTTTAATTCTTTCGTATAGTGACTGATCTTTTTCTTTGAGTTCATTTATAATTAAATCTTTTGTTCTAGTTTTTCAATTGTCTGAGCTTGTGTATGGACGTCATGTTCGAGAACCTCTACTCTCTTAGTCATTGCACTAAGGAAACTTACTTTCATTTCATTCATTTTATCTTCGATAATTTTCTTTATGAAAGTGGTATCATCTTTTGATAGGAGTGTTGATAATTGAATACTGATGTCTGCCAGCTGCTTTTCAAATTTTGTTTCGTATAAAGTTTCCTTTAAACATGCAGAAGTATTATACACCGAGCTGTCGTCCATAATGCAATTATTTTTGGGCGTGCTATTAGATTGAGGTTTTTAGTTTAAGTCTTTTTACCTTTTTGTTTAAAAACTGGGTAATTAGGTTGATTGTCAATATTGTCACTGGTAGCGTTTTCTTGCTTTCATTTGAGCTCATCATGATACATAAATAATTTCAACATAAATCTTCCATAAATATATAAATATCACACTGTTCAACAAAAGCATATTAAAGCCGATAGCGGCTCAGTCATGCGTGACCGCAAATTTTGTCAGGGACAGTAGACCCTCAGGCTATTTTGCGCTCACAAATTGCTCACAAAAAGTCTCTCCACACATTCAATTTCTAAAAGTTCAAGATAACCTCTTTATGCAACATTCAAATTCAAACTTACATATTTTAATAAAATTCCATATCCTTCATGAATGCAACAGTAACTCAATTATACGAATTTCACATTTGCATCGCTATAATTTAGCCAAAATACAACATTGTTTTGTTTACATTTAACCTGTAGTCACCACCTTTTAACCGAATAGAAAAAATATTTCCACACATTGATTGACAAAAGAGTACTTCACATTGATGGACAAAAGATTACCTGACATCGATAGACAAAAGATTACTTACATCGATGGACAAAAGATAAACCCACATCAATGGACAAAAGATAACCCCACATCGATGGACAAAAGATTACTTCACATCGATGGACAAAAGATAAACCCACACCAATGGACAAAAGATAACCCCACATCGATGGACAAAAGATTACTTCACATCGATGGACAAAAGATAAACCCACATCAATGGACAAAAGATAACCCCACATCGATGGACAAAAGATTACTTCGCATCGATGGACAAAAGATAAACTCACATCGATG